CGACGCTACGAGCGCCGCCATGAGCCTCTGTCGTGGCGGACACGACGCTACGAGCGCCGCCATGAGCCTCTGTCGTGGCGGACACGACGCTACGAGCGCCGCCATGAGCCTCTGTCGTGGCGGACACGACGCTACGAGCGCCGCCATGAGCCTCTGTCGTGGCGGACACGACGCTACGAGCGCCGCCATGAGCCTCTGTCGTGGCGGACACGACGCTACGAGCGCCGCCATGAGCCTCTGTCGTGGCGGACACGACGCTACGAGCGCCGCCATGAGCCTCTGTCGTGGCGGACACGACGCTACGAGCGCCGCCATGAGCCTCTGTCGTGGCGGACACGACGCTACGAGCGCCGCCATGAGCCTCTGTCGTGGCGGACACGACGCTACGAGCGCCGCCATGAGCCTCTGTCGTGGCGGACACGACGCTACGAGCGCCGCCATGAGCCTCTGTCGTGGCGGACACGACGCTACGAGTGCCGCCATGAGCCTCTGTCGTGGCGGACACGATCTCTCCGCAATCAATGGCTCACTGAGCTCGGGTAAGCTGCCTCCACATACTCTAATGCTCGACTCGACATTTTGGCAACTTGTGCACTCAAAACAATTGTTGTGAGACAACAAATAGTTGTAAAATAGAGCCACAAACGCTGCCTAGTGGGGCCTATTCCTTGGAGGAATGATTTAAAGAGTTTCATCATGGAAGCCTCACAGGCTGGATGTCACGAGACCAAAACCGTTCCCAGCTTCAGTGGATTTATCCGGATTTAACACAACATTTTCAGTATACTTTCATACACCGAAGCACTTGTGGATGATTTATCAAGACTGAAAGCAATTAATGTTCATATGAAAGAGGAAGAAATAAGACGCTGTTTTGTTCCAACAACACGGCACCGAGAGCGGGTACAACGACGAGCGCTCCTACCGCACACGTCTGACCTCGGGAGCGGCACTCCCAACACTGAGAAGAACGAGAGCGCAAGAGTTGAGAGAGTGAGGGGGAGGGGGAGGAGAAAGCACACGGGGAGGTAAAAGGCATTGAATGAAAAAAAAATTAATAATAAAATGAGTAAATGAGCAAACAGGAACATGTGTTACATTAAATAGAAAGATGCGGAAATATGCAAAGAATAACGAATAATAACTGCAGGAAAAAGACGGAACAATCTTCGAGGTTAGGTCGTTAGTGTGCTAGTTGAGCGGTGACTTGCAATACATTAATAAAATACACAAATAAATGAAATTTTTGCAACGCTTCAATTTAACCAATTTAATACAGCAATGATCACTGAACGTGCATCAAGCTAACAGTTCTCATTAATCTAACAGGAAATTCTCACTACACGAAGTATAACAAAGCACCATAAAAAAGCAGTATTTACCACGAAACGATCAATCGTACGAGTGAACAATTTACGTATGAAGACCACAAAGAACAAGTCTGTGGTGTCTCATACACACTTTTCAGTAACTAATAAACTACCAGCAATTCCATTGTACAATTTATCATCATTAGGAAAAGATGAACCATCACCATCACTTCCCTTTTACCAATATAAATCTATTACCTACAAGATCTATTTCAACTTCAACTCCTCTATCGCAGTTATGGAGGTAGCAGTCCCAGGCTACAATGGTCTTCAGCCCAACGCTGGCAAATTGTCCTCGCCGCAAAGATATTGAGGGCCAGTCTGTCATTACCGTGCATCTTCCCTCAGTTGGGCCAGCTGATGTCCTCAGTTGGGCCAGCTGATGCCCTCAGGTGGGCCAGCTGATGCCCTCAGTTGGACCAGCTGATGCCCTCAGTTGGGCCAGCTGATGCCCTCAGTTGGGCCAGCTGATGCCCTCAGTTGGACCAGCTGATGCCCTCAGTTGGACCAGCTGATGCCCTCAGTCTTCAACACAATAATTCCCAATAATATCACTTGATGCGCTGGTTATTGTAAGGTATGTGCTAGTGTATCTTAAATAGCAGGTTTGTTATAAAGCATGGAACCTTTCTCGTTTGAAATGATTGTCCAGTGAAGCATGAGTCATAGGATGATGCAGGAACACGGGCATGCTGCTGACTCAGCGGCCGGTGTGCCGCGCTGACTCAGCGGCTGGTGCACCCTCTAGATTCAGCGGCTGGTGCGCCGCGCAGACACAATTAAATACCTTAATCCCAAGGCCTTCAAATCGCAATTCATACAAATGCCTCCGAACGACGATCCGTTTTCGTCTTTTTTCCTTCTCATTTATGAACTCCCATTCCCATTTCAACTGACCCATTTTTTTCATTTCAACTGACACCACATACACACAGGAGCTAGTATTCGATTTTAACCATTTGTGTATTGACGGGACCTCTGCCAAGCAATAAGGTACGATTAGCATTGACTATGGTAAATGTAATCGTAGACAATAAGTAAAGGGCAATTGAGTAGGAATGTAAGCGAGCAACAGCTGTCAGCTCTGCACGAGGGTAAGGTGAGGGAAGTCACGCGCGTTTTCTATTCAGACGTCGTCTGAAGAAAACTTTTTCCAACAATAAAGATGGGAGACGCTGCAAATGCTGTTACTTATTCTAACCGTACTTCAGATGATGGAAAACGTTAACAACGCTTAATGTGAATTATGACTCTCGAAACCAGTAATATCCAAACGAACTACATGATTCAAACGAACTTACCACCATAGCACAAACTACCGAGCTACCAACAGCTACATGCATTGAGGCAACGGAGGACGATACGGTAGGGCAATCTCGTTAAACGCGACCGTAAACCACTGTTAGCTAATTAACGATTAAGTTACTTGTGAAAATTTGCCGATAAATTCGAGACCTATATCGAAGAAATTCTGATCACAATTTTGGAATTCAACGAACAAACTCTTGTCATTAAAATTCGATAATGTGATCTTGAGAGCTCAAAACCTTAATAAAATTAATTAGCAAAGAGAAAAAAATTGAAAACTTTTCTGTGATGTACCGGCATGATTACGTAACCAAATTGCATGAATATCTTACTTTCGCTAATCAGAGGCCAAGTAATGGGACCAAGAGTCTAGACTGAATTAGACTCACAAACCAAAATGACATCCATAGCTTGACACGCGAGTGCGTCGTGACAAGAAGAACTGGGAGCATCTAACGCGAGCATATTTCTTGTAGGTCTTCAGGCGAACAGCCGTTTGCAGCGATTATTTCGCGAGACGATGTGCAAATAATAAATTAACGATAGCTGGGCATTAAGTTTCGTTGGAACTATCATCATTGATAGCCTGCAGTTAGCTTCAGGCTTTTATAATGCGAATCAAAAAATTTCATGAAGCAGTCAGAAAACTTCACGAAGTGAAAGCTGAATCAACGATAAAATCAGCAGTCAATTATTCGTTGTAATCAGCCAACTTTAGGGAGCAAGTGATGAATCGGCATGATATTCAGCGGCAAAATGTCTGATAGTTTACATACCTAATCAGCCAACTTCATGAATCAAATCGTCGTCCACTCGAATCATTCGTAAATGCGAAATTCACCACCCGAAAAATCTGTGGGGACGCATTTCAATCCAAAAACGTATTTTTAAATTGGTATGCATTAGACTTCAGTTCATACCTTGGCAACTCAAGCAACGGATGTGTGAAGAACGGGAGGGACACTCCATTAAAGCTTTTTCTGAGACTAAATATTCGTTCTGAGACTCTGTAAAGAAATGCGTTCTTAGCCTGATCAGTTTAAGAGATTTATTTGGGTACATTCATAATCAGGAACGTAGTATTCTCTACAGCATCGTTAACAAATTAAAGACTATTAAAGCTCACTTAAATGAGGTGTGCAACTCCACCGTTATCAATACGTATCACTCTACTTTATAGTAAAATATGATTCCACGAAGAATTTCGTGCAGTACTTAATAGTTTTGGCAAGAGCGGCAAATTCTCGTAAATAACAGGATAGATGAATGAGATAAGAGATAATGGCCAGTTACGTACAGGCCAAAACAATACCACGCTTATTATTGTTGGTGGGAGCGTAAAGCGTCACGGTCGTCCAGTCTGTTAGTGAGCTCATAACGTACAAATGTTTTGGTCTAAACAATGAAACAATTCAATTAATACGCATTCCTGTATTAATCAGAGGTAATTGTGACCAGCTACAGTTTCTCAAAAGACTTACCTATATCAATTATAAGCATGTTTCAGAAATCATTCCTGGTTAATATGTTGAGATGTACACAAATAAACAATCATTACTAGATTTGCATTTGCCAATAAATTAAAATATTTATATAAATGGAGCTTAAATTTAAATAAATAAATTTATTTAAATTAAATAAATTTAAATAAATTTAAATAAATTTAAACTCTAGCAAGAATCCTTGCCTAAAAAATAGATATTTCGCTCTAATCAGCAGCTGAATGATGACGATGTATTCTTAATGCATGTGGTTGGCGAGATTGATTCAATTTTAATTATTCTTATGCATCCAAAGAGGCCAAACCTGGAATAGATTCCAATATACCCAAAAATATTGGCACCCAGCACACTATTCAGGAAGAAGTTACTCAGGGCTGAGCTATTAGATCCTATGAACTCATTTTACAACTCCAGGATTGTACATTGCAGTAGAAACCAAAAATTGTAATCAGTAATTTAGCTGACTGAACTTCACACAAGAAACATTATAAGACATTTTAACAGAAATGAACATGCAAGAAATTCTTTATTTCTTTCTGGAATCAAGTGTGCAATAATTCAATAATAAAATGCATTAACGGCTAAAATTACCTGTCAAAAATGGAAGGTTTCTCCTTCTTGACGAAGTTAGATGGGACGTAGCCAGACTGGTTGTGTTGGTTCATGACGCGCCACCAATGCTTGCTGTCGTCCAGCAGGTGCAGGCGCTCATTCTTGCGTAGGTCAAGTTCATGGCTGCCTTGAGCCTGGTAGTCGTACTTGGCAACCACCCATACCTCCTCCACACCTGACTTGCCTGTACATCATATGTAATAGCTGAGACAAGGTATACTATAATGCTTGGCAACCACCCATACCTCCTCCACACCTGACTTGCCTGGACATCATATGTAATAGCTGAGACAAGGTATACTTTAATGCTTGGCAACCACCCATACCTCCTCCACACCTGACTTGCCTGTACATCATGTGTAATAGCTGAGACAAGGTATACTTTAATGCTTGGCAACCACCCATACCTCCTCCATACCTGACTTGTCTGTACATCATATATAATACCTAGCTGAGATAAGGTATACTTTAATGCTTGGAAACCACCCATACCTCCTCCACACCTGACTTGCCTGTACATAATATGTATTAGCTGAGACAAGATACTTTAATTATACCTTTAAATCCTGCTTCCAATTATACCTTCACCTCCTGCTACCAATTATACCTTCACCACCTGCTACCAATTCTACCTTCACCACCTGCTACCAATTATACCTTCACCACCTGCTTCCAATTATACCTTCACCTCCTGCTTCCAATTATACCTTCACCTCCTGCTTACAATTATACCTTCACCTCCTGCTACCAATCATACCTTCACCTCCTGCTTACAATTATACCTTTACCTCCTGCTTCCAATTATACCTTCACCTCCTGCTACCAATCATACCTTCACCTCCTGCTACCAATTATACCTTCACCTCCTGCTACCAATTCTACCTTTACCTCCTGCTACCAATCATACCTTCACCTCCTGCTTACAATTATACCTTTACCTCCTGCTACCAATTATACCTTCACCTCCTGCTACCAATCATACCTTCACCTCCTGCTACCAATCATACCTTCACCTCCTGCTTACAATTATACCTTTACCTCCTGCTACCAATCATACCTTCACCTCCTGCTTACAATTATACCTTCACCTCCTGCTACCAATCATACCTTCACCTCCTGCTACCAATCATACCTTCACCTCCTGCTTACAATTATACCTTCACCTCCTGCTACCAATTATACCTTCACCTCCTGCTACCAATTATACCTTTACTAGTACCATAGCTCTGTTAATTTCCTATTAATATCATTTGCAACTTTTCTAAATCATTTTCCCTGTACCTAATTTCTGTACTGAAGCAAAGAATGATCACAAAAAAATATTTATCACAAATGCAATAATACCTTGGCAATTAACATCTTCACATTCAGAGGTAAAACCACAATGGTTTACCCCAAATCAAAGGAGGAAAAATTAAATCTTATTATGAGTAAGGTATGAGATGGCAAGTTATAACAACAACTAACTAAATAACAGTTACCTACTCTTTTGCAACTTGAGAAGGGAATTCCAAACTTTAATTTCAGATTTTGCAGACAGAAAGCTGAAAAAATATAATTTCTGATTATGAAAAAAATTAAAATGTAATTATAAATGATTCTCCTGTTCTTGCAGTTTCAAATAAAAATCAACGGTTCTTTAGTAGAACCAACGTCAACTGGTAAAAATACATTTTCAGATTGACTTTAAAATGAAATTTAAGTGTATTTAAATAATTTTCCTTCATTATCATTCTCAGCCATAAGAATGACTGGACATGATTATTTTTTCAAGCCATGAGTGTGTATGTTACAACCACAGAGTAGGAATGCTAGGGATTGAATAAGTAAAACAAAACAGGCAAACTATTGGAATACAAAAATAATATAAATGTATTGTGCAGATCTATTTTTTTTTAAAATAACATTCCAATAATGCATAAATTAAAAAGAAATAACCACCATTTAGTTGATATTTAGTCAACACAAGTAATTTACAACTGGACTTTTAAATTATTCAACAACATCGTTTTACGAGTAAATTTAGACAGAAAAAACATTCAAAACTTGTCATCCTAGAAAAAAGCTAATTTATCAGTTATCACCAATCACTAAAAATTTTTGTTAAAAAATGTGTAAGGTTGCAAGCAAATTTTCAGCTAATCAATTAATACATAATTTAGCTTGTGAGAGGTGGCAGTTGTCATGTAGCATTCCTGGATTCCAACTTGGAATATCAGCAGACTTTTCCAAATTTCAATTTTTACAAAATAAATTAGGCAAAGGCCATTGAACTTGATAAATCTGTCCATTTGCCAGGACATTTTTGTTTCATTCAGAAGTGGCTCTGTGTCTCCAGTTTGGCCTGGATCATGGCATTTCATTCGAATATTCAGAAACATCAATTTCCTTTATTTATTATAGAATGACAACATTCTATAATATTCATGTTATACTGTCAACTGGGGTGACATCGGCCACCTGGAGTGACTTTGGCCACACGTACAACAGAAATAAATGGCAGCAAATCAAATTAATAAATGTTGGCCAAAGTGACTGGGGTGACTTTAGCCACCGGGGTGAATTTGGCCAACGTTTATTATTTTGTTTTGCTGGTAATGCCATTAGTTTCTGTTGTAGGTGTGGCCCAAGTCACCCCTGTTGACAGTACACAATTGAATAAATCCTGTTGTGTATGAAATCTTGTGGCTCCAGAGTCATGTATTTTGGTTTGATTGAGAATATCCTGCTTCATGCTTGTATCATTTAATGATATGTTGAACTTCCACAGTTCAGAACTGCGCTCCCACCAAGATATCCTACATCCAATATGTTTCAGTGAGAATCACGTAGTTGCAGTCATGGTTGAACTATATAAGGTTGACACACAAAGATTTCGGTCTTTCAGTTCAGCTTTCTTGTTACGTCACTGAGATCGAGAAACATAAACAATCCCGTCATTCCTATGACAGATTGGTTGACTGGTTTGATTGCATTTCGGTGAATGGTTAATGCCTGCAAAGTCACTGAATCAGTGATGTGGACGTCACAGGCAAAAAAACAAATGACATCCACAAAAATGAGCTTCTCATCTTATACTAGTTAACCATGGTTGCAGTCAAAGCCAGTCATGTCGGTTTGTCCGACTGTGTTATAGCTGCATTTTTCTTCAACAAAAATGTGACAAATACATTATTATGAGAGTAAATGCCTCTTAAGTAAGAAAAATATATTTGCTGCTACTTCAAGGGTAAAATTAGAGATTTGGCTCAATATGTCTGCAGAGCTAGCCCAGCTAGGCAAGTGGATTAATGGCTTGGAAAATGATTTGGTGACTCAGCCTCACAAATGGCTTTTTATAGCCTGGAAAAGATATTCATGGCTGAAAACTCAATACATTCATGGCTCCAAAAATCAAGTTCAAGAAATTGCAGCTGGGAGCCAGGGTGAATAAATGTTTTCCACACTAGATTATTACATACTAGTGCCAATAGAGGCCAGCAAGAAAAACATTACCTTCAGAGCCGCAATTAGAGCTTTCCCGTCATTATTGGAACAAAGAGATTCCTGATAAAAGAACTACCATACCTCCTTTGTAATTAATAACAAAAATACAAAATTGGGCTGTGCGCTGTGAACCTTCTAATGTATGAAGATTTCAGAAATGAATAGGGATTTACTAGGAAAATTACAATCCTGCATAGTGGCAAATGCACAGTGGAAAATTGGGAAGTAGTATGTATCCACATGAGAATGTAACAAAAACACCCATACTGGCTAATCTGAATTATTAGGCATGGTTTTTCAGAAATTACAGGCAAAAACATTTGCTTACAGTTACAGGCCATTTTTTAACATTTTTGGCAAAGATATGCTGCTTTTATTATATTTTATTATTTTCATGAAAGAAATTAGGCAAGGGCTATTAAATCAAGTGAAATGGACTTTAACATCTTCAAGTAAGGGCATATTTGTCTCATTCACATCATCACATGACACCAAGTCACCAACAAAGATGAAATTGCAAGCAAAATTGCAAATCAGTGAAGAAGGGAGTCTTTTATGAAACAGGCTTGTTTTTACTTCTGATTGGACTTGATAAAATTAAATATTTCATTCAACATCTTACAAGCTTGTTAATGCTGGTATCTATGATCCAATATCCATGATACTTCCAACCTAGTTAGCCTACTGGTAAACTTACAGCCTTACAGGACTCAAAAACTTAATAATTTAAGGATGAAGGTTGAGAAAGTACCACCATAGTCCATAGCACACAGCCTATGACTCTCATATCGTCATATGCCTCTGTGAATTTATTAGCTAATGTGTGGCGTGTGCATAGGTAGCTTAGTAGCTAGGTATTTGAAAAAAAGTAAAAAATCAAAATTCTCTTCTAACAATTATTATTGTTAGAAGAATTATTAATAAAGATTGACAAGGGGGTTTTCAGGATATAACTACAATTTTATTATTATTTATTCCGCTTCTGTTTCTTAGGTATTCTTAATTAACTCACCTATTTTAAGGCTAGACATTTTTCTTATCTTTCGCTAACCCGCACCACACCTTGTATTCTACGCACTAGCCACTGTATCCAGATTCGTTCAATGACTTTGTTACCGCTTCAATTGGACAATAACGCATCAAGGTTTCAAGGGCGTTCACCAGACAACGAAAACGAAGGTACCATTACCCTCAGCCTCAACGACGGCTGTGAGCAATGAGCATCAATTTGTTTGCTGCTGAGGTCTCAGTTATAGATACCGTAATATCTGGACTCTCTCCTGACGACCGAATAAGGTTTGAATCAGTTATGGAATTCATTAAGGACAATTGTTATTCATGCATTATCTGCCTGCCTATATTTGTATATGGAAAGCTTCTTAATTTTTTTTCTTCGGTTTTCCGTAGTGTTGTAATGATGTTTTGGTCTTGCTGGAACTCGGAAATTTAATCGTCTATTCACTCCTAAATAATATTTGATTCTGTTAGAAAATATTCTCTATGTGACTGCGAAAAGGGTAATTTTCCTAAAGTATCGGAGCATTCCAAATAAGCAAGTAGGAAAAGAATAACTACATGCTGCAGACCCAGCCATTCTCGGGTGTACCCATGGTTGAAATAATACTAATAAATAAATAATAAATTAATTCAACCATGGGTGTACCATCCCGCTGCCATTTAATTTATGATTAATGAAAGTAGATTAGACGTATCTCTCAGAAAACAATATTTATGAATAAGGTAGACTAGAATCCGAAGTAGTGTATTTGCACAACGAGCGTTTTTAACGAAAGGATGATCTTTTTCACCATGTAGAACCTTCGTACAGGATTTTTCTTCGTATCATCATACCATTGTGCTGCTATATTCGGGGTCTACAAACCATGTTCATTTCAATTTCGCTAATCTAGCGTTTTTAGGCATATTAATAATATCGGTTAATGCGTGTTCCTGAAGATTCTGTGCGAGGATATAATATATTTGCTAGCATGTTTGCAAACCTGGCTCATTTGGAAGGGGCAGGATACACATCTGAGGGACTTGGTGATCGAGGGCTACCGGTAATGTGGGAATAATATGGCTAATAGCGTGGTCGGGGTAACCGGAGGAATTCAGGAGATATGGCGGATATAAATAGCGTCTGGGTTTTTTTCTTTATTATTTCAGGTTCTGCCAAACTTTGTAACTTGGTGATACAAGCGTGAGGTAAATTTCTTCATGTATGAAATCCGAACAAGAGACCCAGTGTTATTCGCAAGATATCCTATAATAATTTTGGTATCACCGAGCGGCAGCGCGTCTTATTTAGAATAGAACTTGTAACGGTTTTGGAGCTCGGTCACCGTAGTTGCCAGAGTCGCATGAAGAAGATTTTTAGCCTACTCATACTCTATAACTTACGAAATAATATTATTTAACTTTATTAGACTTAGAACTATTGTAAAATCATCTGAACATTTTATTGTTATGGACTGGCCATGATTGCCTGGCTTACGAAGATGATTATTTATTTTAGTTATTTGTGAAGCTATCGGCTAAAGTTCACGAGCACACATCTACCGTAAGTCTTTGGATTGAGCTTTCGCTCGCAGCTTACGTGACCTCGGGTAGTTCTTCGCCGAAATATGGTTCCAACCATCTTACCACTTTTCTCCAGATCGCGACAGTCTCTAACTTACGCCGGTGTCTCCCTAATGTCGCTACAACAGTCAATCCCTCAGAAATAATCGACAGTGCTGAACACGCTCACGTGCCCCGACGATCATTGCGTCTGATACGCTTTTCAACCCACAAACACAGCAATCAAACATTCACGATATGCAACAACATTCAATGGAAAAATATTCATAAAATTCTGAGGGTCACATAAAATACTCAATTTTTCTCTCACGTGTAGGCTAATCATACATAGCCACATAGGCGACTGGCACCTCGCACACACTGAAAACCAAAGCTGTTTTTACTAGTGTTACTCAAATAATGACATTCTGACAACCTTTTGGATCATCTATCGACCATAATCATGTATCCCCTGTCACCTTTGTGCCTCTGACACCACAGCCGTGAGCATACAGACCATCCATCCTGAGCTGTACCCTAACTTAAGACTCGCCATCGGCTGCCTCGAGTAGGTATCTAAAGCCCACCTCCATGCTGAGACAGGTATTCTTCTCTTGTCTGCATAGAGAACAGGTATTCTTCCCTTGTCTGCATTAAGCTCCTCGACCAGAAGTCTCCATTAAGCCGTGGTCGAGAGCGGACGCTCGTGCTCGTGGTCCCAAATTTCTAAATTTTTTAACCTTTTACTGTGCCGTTTTCGGAACTCTTTTCGCATTTTTTTTTTATGATCCGTGCCAGAGAATAACCGAATTTCAGTTCAGTTCAGTGAAGTCAGTAAAAGAGAGTGCAAATTGAATGAACAAGCCAAACAAGTGAAAGTGTTTTCATTTTTAAATAACGCGGACTTGTTGAGTCAGTAGNTCTTAAAATGCCTAGCAAATTACGGACCAGGCAATAAGTCCAGCAGCTATCTCAATCAATCGTCAGCTATGGAAAGATCGGGTTCCAAAGGCCGGATCCCTTGTGAATCAAGTCACGAAAAGTTCAAGAATCGGCAACAGGCCATGGGCCTATTTCTTCAGCGCCGACACTTCTATTCTATTCTATTCTATTCTAACAAGACCTTGCGTGTTCTTTACTTCTTGAGAGCGCCCTTCAGACCCACTTCCTCTTTTCTCCTATTGTTGTTGTTTCTAATACAAAACGACCCATGAGATTCACCCTTCCTCGTTATGACCACCTCATGATGATTGGCCTCACGCCTGCCGGCTTTACCCAATCGCAAATCGGTGCATCCACAGCTCAGAAGTAAAAATTCCTTCAGTACTGCAGAATCTCTTCGCCAGTCCTTTCTTGAGTCCACTCAGAATCTCTTCGCCAGTCCCTTCTCCCCCGCGGCCTTTGCGCGTATATGGGAGCGTAGCCGTAGGTCTACAATTTTTAAGTCATGAACTAGCCCTGCAGCCAGCTAACGCTTTTTAGCCTATAACGGAAAGCAACGACAAAAACGTCTCACATTGCGCCCTGCAAATTTCACGCGTCATGAACTGCTACCAACTATATTTTGGAATTGATTTTAATGTCCCATTGCTTCATTACAAAGCCTATGTAATGATAAGCTTCTATATACGTGAATTACGTGAGGAAGGGAGATGCGATCATTAATGTTGTTGTTATTGTTGTTGCCCCGCGCCCGATACCGGCGTCACTGGTCCAGCCGTGGCTGGAGCCAGCGCACAACCGCAGCTGGGTCCCTCCAAAGGTCTATGGTGCTGAGGGGCGTTGGGTAATTAAGCGATAGCTCGAGACCGCGCGCTTTGAACACTAGTTGCCACCTAGACGTCAATGAGGATGGATGTCACCGAATTTGAGCTGTAGCCATTGTTCTCGGGTGTGCTGCGGTCCGCCATTCTTCCCACTATGTCAGTTGTAAACGAGAATTTAGCATAGACATCATAATTAGAGAACTAGCACATTCAAAAAGATACAGTTAGTTTATAAAAATATAGTCTATTCTTAAATAAAAAGTTCCAATATTCGTACCGATATTATATCATCATTTGAAATCGCTAAACGGTAATGCATAAATTGTCAGGAGTTGCTTAAATCACATGAACTAAACACGTCATGTAAAAATAACTTACATCATTTGCATTTCGATTTTTGGACTCCTTTGACCGAACAGTCCATAGGCATTCGTGTTCTCTATAGAGATCAATTAGGCGCTCTACTAGAGAGTGACTCCAAACGAGAGTGGTGTTAGTCGACATTTGGTGTACCGGACCAACGTACACAATCAACCTTACTAGACCACAGACAGCTATCTACTAACTAAGAATTTAAAAGCAAAGAATAGTCCACAAAAATTCATAAAACGTTTCGGAGACCAGCTCCATCGTCAGTTCGTGTAATCTAGAATCACAAATCAGAAGTCACAAATTAATACATTGAAACCATAGAACGAATTCAATTTCTTTAATTAATTATTTTAGATTTTCAATTTTATTTAAAATTTTAATTTAATTTAAATTCTTAGTTAATTTGCGATTTAAGCATACAAGTGATATCAATTCTTTTATTTAATAGCTATCTACTAAGCGCCGCGCTTGTGTTGCATGAGGCATGGCCCATGTCAATCGCTAGCTCGTCAATCGGTCAAGAAGCGCATGCAGAGGCTGCAAAGCGCCTCTGCATGCGCTTTGAGGCACTTGATTCTCGTGTGTTGCCCCTAGTGTGAACGGGCCTTTTAGAGCAGTCGAAGAGGTGGGGCACATCATCCGAAGAGAGGTGGCAGTAGTTGCACAGGTTATTGGCGTTATTTTTAATTCTGCTTTTGTAGCTGTTCATGAGTATACAGTGGTCATAGCGAAGTTGTGCCAGGGTTCGTTTGCAGATCTTTGAAGCGATGGTTCAGATCTATCTATTTCCGGAAGCGGAGGAGGCCAGCCGTTAAGAAGCCAATACTGGTGGGTGGTACGAGTCTATGGCAGCGCGGGCAGCGTTGGAATAGAGAGTGTCGCTAGCTGCTTCGAGGGTGGTACTGTTAATAATGGTTGGGAGTGAAGGTTGAACGGCATTTATGTATTTGGTGAAAAGAGTATCTCTTATGTTGCGGGGTTGGGGGTGCGGTCTTGTGATTTGGTGGCAGGCGTGTTGAGGGAGGTGACTCCGCAGAAGGTACTGGGCTGAGAGGAGGTCCGTATGTTGTTGAACAGTGAGCATTTGACATTCGGAGTGAAGATGTTGTTCGGCAGTTGTGTTGTGGCAACCGGTTATGGTTCTCCGAGCAGAATTTTGAACTGTTTGCAGGCGGGTGAAGTTGGTAGGAGAGGTGACAGGAGATCAGGCTGGGCTGGCGTACTCAATTACTGGGCGGCCGATGGCTTTGTGTGTTTGTAGTAGGGTTTCCTTGTCTCGTCCAAAGGATGTGCCTGAGAGTGCTTTCAGTATGTTCTTGCGTTTTGAGGCTTTTGCTGCCGTGGTTCTGTGGTGGTGGTAAAGGTGAGCATGGTGTCAAAAGTTATGCAAAGGATTTTTGGGTTGTGTTCTAGCGGGAGTAGTTGATTGTTGATCTTGACTTGAGGGTGGTGATTGTACTGGGCCGTGTGCGGTTTAATGAGAGTGACTGTTGATTTGCTGGCAGAGATTTCCAGGTTGCGGTGAGTGAAAAAGTGCAGAGTTGGGGGAGGTAGTCGTTGAGTTTCTGGGTGAGAATG